AAAATACCAGGAGGAGGAGGAGGAGGAGGAGAAAAGAATTCAACTACAGTGGTGCCTCGACTTACAAAATTAATTCATATTGGAACGGTGGCAGTAACATGAAATTTTTGGAGCAAGTCCCACACTGGGACTGCAAAATAAATAAATAAATAAATAAATAAATAAAAATAAAAATCACACAAAAAAACACAAAAACATAACCCCACAGCCTAAACCTACCCTCCAAAACCCACCCAGAACAACTTTTTTAAAAGGAAAAAGGGGCACTTTACCCATCCGGAGCCTCCCAGGCTTCCCCGTAGCTGTCGGAGGCCTCCCGGGGGGGTGGTCACGGCAGCGGGGAACCCCGGGAGGCCTCCAGCAGTGGCAGTCAGGGCAGTAGGGAGCCCTGGCAAGCCTCTGGTGGCAGTGGGGAAGCCCAGGAGGCCTCCGGCGGCGGTGGCGAGGATGGTAGAGAGGAACCCCGGGAGGCCTCCACTGGTGGTGGGGAAGGCTGGGAGGCCTCCAGCGGCAGTCACGGCAGCAGGGAACCCCAGGAGGGCTCCAGCAGCAGTGGTCAGTGCGGCAGGGAAACCCAGAAGGCCTCTGGCAGCAGTGGGGAAGCCCGGGAGGCCTCCGGTGGCAGTGGGGAGGCCTCCCGCTGCGGTGATGAGAACGGCGGAGGGGAACCCCAGGAGGCCCCGGTGGCGGTGGTGAAGCCCGGGAGGCCTCAGGTGGCAGTCACAGTGGCAGGGAAGCCCGGGAGGCCTCCAGTGACAGTGGGGAAATCCAGGAGGCCTCTGGTGGCAACCAGCAAGGATGGCAGCGGGGAACCCCAAGAGTCCTGTGGTGGTGGCAGGAAAGCCGGGAGGTCTGCGGCGGCGGTGAGTACAGCGGAGGGGAACCCTGGGAGGCCTGCTGTGGCGGCGGTCACAGCAGCGGGGAACCCCAGGAGGCTTCCAGCAGTGGGGGGGAAGCCCAGGAGGCCTCTGGTGGCCCTGGGAGGCCTCTGGCAGCGAGGACGGCAGCGGGGAACCCCGAGAGGCCTCTACCAGTGCTTACAGCAGCGGGGGATCCCTGGGAGGCCTCCAGCAGCAGCGGGGAAGCCCGGGAGGCCTCCAGCAGCACCGGCGAGGATGGTGGATGGGAACCCCGGGAGGCCTCCTATGGGGAAAAATCGCTTTGCGATGATCGCGGGGAAGCGATCATGGCAAAGCACCCCTTTTTGCGCAGCTGATCGGCGGTTCCAAAATGGCCACCGGAAAAACAAAATGGCCACACGCTGTTTTGCCTCACTTTAGAGGCACTAAAAATGGTCGCCCCTATGGGGGATCTTCGCATAAGGTCAGTTTTTAAGCCCATAGGAACGCATTAAACATGTTTTAATGTGTTTCTATGGGCTTTTTAAAATCACTTAGCGATTACATCGCTTAGCAACGTTTTTCCTGGAACGGATTAATGTCGCTAAGCGAGGCACCACTGTATTTGTATATTTTATTATATGCATTAACACTCATTTGCCAAGCAATTATAAATCAAAAGATTGCATTGACACTGTCTTATTAAATGACACTAGCGTATAAAATAGCATATTCTAGAAAAATATGAAAGTATAATTTAGGCTTTTTAAAAAAACAGCTGAATGTTGCCCATATAAAGCTTGAACAGCTTATGAAGCAGGATCTCTCTCTCTCAACTAAATGAAGAAGAAAGAAGCAGCAATTACAAGAATGCACTGCAATTATTCACATGATATATGAAAATGTCATGCTCTCTATCCAAAGAGGTTGAAAGGCAAATTGCAGTTTAATCACACCATATACTGAATGTAGTTATTTAAGTTACAACACTTTGAATGGCATTTCCTTTCCTGCTGCTTTATTCATTAATATATTGTTAAAAATAAACTCCTCTCCATAAGTTAGCCACAGTGGTAAAGGCATCTGCCAAGCATACAAGGCACACCACTTCAGTGTTTTTTAATACCACCTCCAAACTGTTGGGACAGTCTGGACTTTCCTACCCACATTACCAACACCACAATAAAAATTTAAAATAGATGTTAACAGATGGAACGAGAGAGAAAAAACACAATCGTTGAGATAATTAGCTCAGACTGCACCCTTTTGGGGATAACTTCACTGAAATTCATGGGTTTACTTCTGAGTAAATACATATAGAATTGTACCATTAAAAGTTTTTAATATACCTTCTCCTCTTTCTGATTAGCAGAAGTTCCAAATTATGTCATTTAACATGACTAGAATACATTTAGATGTGTTAGCATTCTCATTACTGCCATATTTACCATTCTGGTTTAAGGCAGGGCTCATCCAATATAGTTAATGGTGAGGATGATGAGAGTTGTAATCCAATAATACAGTGGTGCCTCGCTTAACGGGCACCCCGTTTAACGACGAAATCCCATACCAACGAACTTTTTGTGGTCGTTTATGCAATCGCATTGCGATGTTTTAAATGGGGAAAAATCGCTTTGCGATGATTGGCACCCTGTTTCGCTTACCGATTATCGCAAAGCGATGATTTTCCCCCAGCTGATCGGCAGTTCCAAAATGGCCACCGGGTAAAAAAATGCCCGCCCGCTGTGTTTAGAGATAATGGCCACCGGGTAAAAAAATGCCCGCCCCCTGTGTTTAGGGATGGTTTCCTCGCTTACTGGGCAGCGAAAATGACCGCCGTATGGAGGATCTTCGCTTAAAGCTCAGTTTTAAGCCCATAGGAACGCACTGAAGGGGTTTCAATGCATTCCTATGGGCTTTTTAAAACCGCATAGCGACGAAATCGCTTTGCAGCAATTTTTGCTGCACTGATTAACGTTGCTGTGCGAGGCACCACTGTATTTGTGGGGCCACGCATTCCCTTTTTTGCTGCACTGATTAACGTTGCTATGCAACGCACCACAGTATTTGTGGGGCCACGCATTCCCAGAGTCTGCTATATATACAGCCTGTTACTGCAGAAGAGCCAGAAAAACACTCAAGGAAGATGTTATGGGAATAAAATATTGTTATACCACTATCAATAATGGTAAGCCTTCCCTCCAAGTTTCTGAATATTGTAATTGTTGCCACGATCAAATCATTCTTATGGGGAGAGAATTTAATCTCTAAACACATACACACAATATGAGCCAAAACATCTTGCCAAACAGCTTAAACTTTTAGAATTTTAATTAGGTATTATCAGTTGTATTTCTCTTTTTTATTGAACCAAGATGCAGCCAGCACTGTAATAAGCTGGATGAAAGCCTCAAAAGAGATTTTATCATCCTATGGCCTAAATAAAGTAATCTCTTGCTATTTGAAACAGCCCTATGCAGGTGTAGTTAGCAGTAGATTAGTAAAGTTTAATAACCTAAAACTTGATCAAGACCAAACTGATAGATGGTTCAACTGATTTGTGAGTAATGTTTGACTTGTTCTAAATGGGGCTCCATCTTCCCCTTAGAGATCAGGTTCATAGCTTCAGATTATTATTAAAGCGACACGAATAGCTAGTGGTGTCCATGACTGAGGAGATCTTTTGACCACCTCGGATGGTGTTCCATCTGTGTTGCTTTTTACTGAGAAAAATCATCTCACCATAATTGCCCCTGCAAACCTCTATGATGGATTACTCCAACAGGCGCAATGTCGGGCTGCCTCTGGAAGTATGCTTTGGAAAATTCAGTATATTCAGAATATGACAGCCACACAGTAGCCACACTGTGTTAATTTGGAAATTGGCTAACACTCCCACAACATGAGCTCATGGTTCAGAGTTGCTGAGAACAGCAACAAGCACACCCACAACATTTACAGGGAACGCAGTAGCACCTCACATTTCAGCAGTGCCAGGACAGTAACAAGCTACCAACCCCTCCCTTTGCTTTGGTTTAGTAACAGAATCAAGAACAGTTATGAACTTACATAGACCACAGTGCAGAAATATCACAATAAAAATGGTAGAATTTTGGAACAAATTAATCAGGAGTTACACAGTTTCAAGAGTTCTATAACAAAGAGACAAGCCAGCACATGTAAACTCTTTTTGGGTGAGGCACAGATAAATCAGAAGCAAAGAAATGATAAAAAGGAACAGAAAATTAGTTTACCCATCATAGTTTACCTGTTGATTTGGAATAGTGACGTTTAAGAAACATGTGTTTCTTTTGTCTTATGTGGGATGGGGAGACAAACCCTTCCATCAAATCAGAATGTTCACAAGATCAGTTTAAGAATCCCTGCTGCAGAGGCTTCATTTCCAACAACATTCATACTCAAATAATTTTTACAAAAGGAGAAAACATAACCTCAATTTACAGGAAACACATACAGCAAGCTCCTGATAAAGATTCCACAAAGAACTACATTTGTCTTAGTATGGAGATTCTGTTACCCATTGCAATAAAGAACTTCCTCTAGGTGACTAAGCTGGGCAGCTTTTGTAAACAGTTTTCTTCTTCTCAAACCACTTTTTAGATCTACCCTATGACTAATTTAGATAATTTTGGACAAGGAGGCAAATAAACATTATTTGTACATACATTCGTGCCCCGCATAATGAGCGCACCGTTTAACGATGAATCCGCATAGTGATGCGGATTTTGCGATCGCTAATGCGATCGCCTGCCGATGTTGTAATAGGGCGAAAATCGCTTTGCGATGATCGGTAAGCATTTCGCTTACCGATCTTCGCATTGCGACGGGGGAACAGCTGTTCGGCGGTTCCAAATTGACCGCCGGAACATCCAAATTGACCGCCGGAACACCCAAAATGGCCGCCGGAACACCCAAAATGGCCGCCGCCGGATGGGGAAACATTGCAGAATGGTGAGTTTTGGGCCCATTTGGAACACATTAAACGAAGTTTAATGCGTTCCAATGGGCTTTTCCATTCCGTTTAGCGATGTTTCCCCATAGCGAAGGTTAATCCGGAACGGATTAACCTTGCTATGCGGGGCACCACTGTAACTGACTTGCAAGGTTACTTTTAAGGCAGAAAAATGGTTAGCATCTTACCTGTCAATAATGACTCCAAGTCAGTTTTTAATTTCTGAAGCAACTGGATGAGTTGAACAGACACGTCAATCAGACCCAAGTTTCTATTATAAAAGAAAAGTTTTAATATTCAGATTGTACTCTTCAAAAATAAGAAGCAGAGAAATCAATTTTACCATCACATAAAAACACCAAATCTATAAAATATAATGCAATATACTGAGAGAGTTTGTACAGCTAAACATACCAGCAGTCACAGCTTGAGTTTTCCCAAGCTGTGATTGCTGCTAAGGACAGAGTGGCAGCACAGGCTGCAAAGGATTTCTGAACACCACTGTCACTTAGAGGTTAGAAAGAGATAGGGCAAGAAGAAAGGCCTAATGAAGAGGTCTGAAAAGTACAAGAAAGAGCACAAACTGCCCCCACAGAATCATCCAATTTGATGGGCACTGCAATAGGGTTTGATGCCCCAATTGGAAGCATATGATGATAAAATGTAGGCTACTGAACATACAAACACAGGAACTGCAGAGTGTTGTGAGTAAGACCTGTTCGCCGATGAGTCTGCAGATCCCCATCAAAGCTGGCCAACCAGCATGGTAGCTTTACTTGCTAAAATGCCCACAAGAATGCAGGGCCTTTATCCTTGCTAAGTGCAATGCCATTCCATTGGCAGTGCTGTATAGATGCAATGGGATTCCATGCAGCGAGAGGTGCTGCTTCTGCAAGCTGTGTAGGGTGGAGTCACTCTTCCACATGATTTTGTATTGTCCATTCTATAAGGATCTCTGCAGAAAATATTTAGCCCCCTTTTTGTTAAAGAAGGGCTATGATTGTGACATATTGAGGAATATTCTGTCAACAGAAGAGTCAGCTATAGTGGAGAACATGGTGGAATTTTTGAACCAGATAGTGAGAAGCTGCAGACTGAGATGTAAGAAATGTGTTAATTAATGGTTTGTTTGTTATCTTGTATAAGTGACTTTTTTGTGTATTCCAATAAATGCTCTGACTGACTGAAGAAAGAGCAGGCAGTGTTTTAAAACGGGAAGCAGAGGCACCTAGCAAAGGAAGTTTGGAACAGGCAGAACTTGGAAACATTAATATTAGTATTAATCATAAATCAATAAAAATGCTTTATTGATTTTAATGAAAAATCAATAGTTTTATGAAATTGCTTAGTTTAAATCTTGTTTAAGTGTATTACGTATGTATTATGATTACAACATAAGTGTATTATGTATTATGATTTAATATTTTGATTAAGCTTTATTAATTTGTTTACTGTATCACATCTGTATTAATTTTGTGCACTTTTTACTTTTCTTTCTTGACATGGAAGGTCTGCCCCCCCCCCGGGCGGGGCTCCTCAGAACATCTGAGTGATTACGGGTAGAGGGAGATATGGCAATGACACATTCCCTACTTGTGTCAGAAGAACGGTGAACAGATGTTTGAAGGCTGTTCAGTGTTCTGCGACTGTGACCTCGAGGTAGTCAGATCAGCCGGCCCTCCACTTTAAAACTGATGCTGCTAAATGCCAGGTCTGTGTCAAATAAATCCCAGATTATCCAAGATCTTATTCTGGAGGATGCAGACCTGGCGTGCATAACTGAGACCTGGATGGGTGGGGAAGGGGGAGTTCCCTTGACCCTGGCCTGTCGTCCAGGTTATGCAGTCCAGCACCAGGGTAGACTGGAGGGGCGGGGGGAGTAGCCATTATTTATAGAAATACTCTTGAGGTTACTAGGCGCTCTACAGTGGTAAAGCCGGGTCTGGAGGCCCTCTATGTGTTGGTTGGGGCCAGGGACGGTATTGGGATCTTGCTGGGTTACCACGCTCCCCGCGATCCAGCTACCTCCTTACTGGAGCTGGTGGACTTTGTCTCTGTGACACTGTTGGAGTCCCCAAGGCTTTTAGCCCTGAGTGACTTCAATATCCATGCGGAGGCAGAGGTTTCCGGTCCAGCTCTTGAGTTCTTGGAAACCATGGCTTCCTTAGACATGTCCCAACATGTCAACGGTCCCACACACATGGGCGGCCATATGCTAGACCTGGTATTTTCTACTGAGCGGAGTGAGCATGGTCTGATGGTGACTGACCTGGTGTCAGTCCCCTTGTCATGGTCAGATCACCACCTAATAAAATGTAACCTCTCAGTGGCACTCCCTCCCCCTAGGGAGCATGGACCTATTTCAATGGTCCGCCCTCGAAGGTCACTGGATCCACTGCAATTCCAGGATACCATGAGAGGGATTCCAGCTGTTCTGTCTGGCGCCTCTGTTGAAGCTGTGGTTGATGGCTGGCTTGCTGCCGCCACTACGGCTGTAGACATGATAGCTCCTAAACGCTCTCTCTGGCACAGAGCTCGGCCAGGGGCCTGGTATAACCAGGAACTACGAGCTATCGAGCAAAATAGGGGATGGCTAGAGTGCATTTGGAGAGATAAATTGACAGATTATAATAAGAAAGCTGTCAGGATCGCAACTAACAATTACCTGGCTAAGGTGAAGGCTGCTACACGATCACACTTCGCTGACCGGATAAGCGAAGCTTCAAATCAGCAGGCGGAACTTTTCCGTATAGTTTGCGATCTATCCAGAATTGGTCTGGGTGATAGGCCTCCCACTAATATCTCACCTGACCAATTTGCAGCATTTTTAAAATCAAATGTGGACGCCGTCCGCCGGGATCTCCCTCCTCCTCTAAATATAGTGGATTGAGCAGAGATGTCTAGTGCTCCGCCTTGCCTGGTGACACTTGAACTCTTTCATCCTGTGACACCAGATATGGTGGACAAAGCGCTTGATCGATGCCGGGCCACCACTTCCTCTCTTGACCCTTGCCCAGCCTGGCTAATCAAAGCAGCCAGTCCTATAACAATGGAATGGGCCACAGCAATAATTAATGGGTCTCTCCAGGAGGGCAAGGTTCCTCTTGCCCTCAAGGAGACACTGATTAGGCCCATTAGGAAGAAACCAAATTTGGCAGTGGACGATAATGGCAATTTTAGGCCCGTCGTCAATGTTTTCTTCCTTTGCAAAGTGGTGGAGAGTATGGTGGCTGATGAAGCTCTCTTGGATGAAACCAATGCCCTGGATCCATTTCAGTCAGGCTTCAGTCTGTGCCATGGTACAGAAACAGCACTGGTCGCACTGTTGGATGACCTGTTGAGGGAGGCTGACAGGGGCAACGTGTCCTTGTTGGTCCTCCTTGAGTTGGGAATCAGTGGCCTTGCACTTGCCTGGCTCTGTTCCTTCTTGGAGGACTGTCCCCAGAGAGTACAGCTTGGGAAGAGTGTTTCGGCCCTGGGGAGTCTCAATTGTGAGGTTTCACAGGGGTCGATCATCTCTGCAACGCTGTTTAATATCTATATGAGGCTGTTGGGTGGGGTCATCAGGGGGTGTGGGGCTTCGTGACATCAGTATGTTGATGACACCCAGCTCTACATCTCCTTTTCACCTACTTCAGTGGATGCCATTCTGTCCCTTCAGCCCTGTTTGGAGGCCATACTGCAATGGATGCACCTGAATGAGTTGAGGCTGAGCCTGGACAAGACAGACTTGAGTGGGTGGCCCCTCCATTGGCGGTTTGGGAAACTCCCTCTCTTTTGGGGGAGTGACTCTCACTGCACAGAGTGGGGTCCGCAGGTTGGGAATACATCTGGACCTTGCGCTTACCATGGAAACCCAGGTGGTGTCTGTGGCCCGCTCTGCGTATTTCCATCTGTGGCGGATCGGCCAACTGCGAACCTACCTTGATGGGTGGTCCCTCACCACTCTCATCCATGCACTCATAATCTCGAGATTAGACCACTGTAATGTGCTCTATGTGGGGCCACCTTTGAGACTGATGTGGAAGCTTCAAATGGTGCAGAACACCACACCCAGACTCCTTAGTGGGGTGAGAAAACACCAGCATATCATCCCCACTCTGGCTGCCTTACATTGGCTGCCCATTCATTTCCGCATCGACTTCAAAGTGTTAATGATGACGTATAAAGCCCTAAACGGTTTGGGACCTCGATATTTGGCAGATCGCCATCTCCCACTTAGATCTACCCAAATTACTCCGCATAGCCAGGAGAGATGGTTGAGCGGCCTAACGCCGAGAAAGGCCCGGAAAGAAAGTACAAGAAACCAGGCCTTCTCGGCAGTGGCCCCTCGACTATGGAACAGTCTTCCAACAGAGATCTGCCTAGCACCCTTGCTGGGTGTTTTCAAGAGCCATTTAAAGCATTAGCTATTTAGGCAGGCCTTCCCTTCTGTCAATTCTTGAATTCTCTTTGTTTTATCATTCCCCATCTTGAACACATCATATTATTGATTTAATTGTTTAATGATTATGATGTTTTAGTATATTTTATGATTTTTTGATATCTGTAGGCCGGTCCAAGTAGACGCTGTCTGGGGGGGGCGGGGTAAAAATCTAATAAATTAATAAGATAAATACCGTATTTTTCACTCCATAAGATGCACCTTTCCATGAGACACACCAATTTTTTAGAAGAAAACAGGAAAATATAATCTGTTTTCTTCGCTCCATAAGACGCACAGACTTTCCACCCCCGTTTTGTGGGGGGAAAGTGTGTCTTATGGTGTGAAAAATACGAATTCATTAACATGAAAGTACACAGAACTTCAAAAATTTTAACTCAGTCATTTGCTAAACCAAAAATCGTTTAACATTATTTTTAAAAGACCCCCCCAACACGAATTGCCTCAAAAATAACAAAGAAACAAAAAAGGTAATCATTATTCAAAATTAATGTTGTTGACATTTAGTGACTCAAATAACCATTTTAATAAACTACGTTGAAATTCTTAATAAATATGGGGTAGTTTTTAGCTAATTATTTCCAAGCTCAGGGAATGGGAAAATAAAGACAAGAATAGACAAGACAGAAAAAGTACTCATGACAAGCCATAAAATATAAAGTAACCACTGGTCTGAAATAACTAGCAAAAACATCACAGAGAGAGTGTGTATATTAGTTCTACAACACCTTTAAAATGAGCCAGTTTATTTTAACATGAGATTATGTGGATCACAATCCACTTCTTAAGATATACTCTATCCATCTGAAGAAAAGTGTAATGCAAGA